CAAGACAATAGTCTTTGTGAGCACTTTGTGATGACTATATATTCCATCTTTTGCTTAAATATGCATCCTTTGTTATTGAGAATTAGTGTTTTCTAGAATAAAAAGGAAGCCATATGTTTATCAAAAAGCATTAATGCAGACAGCTGTGAGAGTGAGATGAGAAAGAAAACCTCAAGGATTACATATTGGCCTCTTAGTAATCTCATAATCTGGTACTTTGATCAATCTTTATAGTTCAGCAAAGGCCCTGCTTTGTCTCTGAAAAATAAGAACAATCCAAGAGAGAGTGAAAGAAAGCAAATAGATAAGGGGACATTGGAATAACAGTTGAGAGACAGATATTTACCTCTCTCTCTTCTTAGTTTTATTGTTGTGGAAAGAGTAGATATTTTGGAGCCAGATAAATCCAAGTTTGAATCTCAGTCATCACTACATGTAGTTATATGGCATCAGGCAGTTTACTTAGCATCTGTGAGTCTCAATGTAGACACTGCTACTTTCCCAGGCAAGCTGTTGGGTTGACATATGTTAACCAACAGATGTTAACGTAAGTTTGGGGCCTGGAAGTAGAAAAGCAAAAAGCAGATTTTATTAATGGTAACTTATTATGAATGATCACCACTTCTTCATCTGTTCAAACATTGATTTGTTGTTCCACTTATTTATGCATTTATTGGTTGATTCTTGATGTGTCCTGACCGGGGATGGAACCCACAATCTTGGGTATCAGGATGATGCTCTAACCAACTGAGCTACCCAACCAGAGCCATCTGTTCAACTTTCAACATATATTTATGGGTCACCTCTTTGTGGAAGAACTATAGTGAAGTCTCAGGAATACAGTGAACAAACAGATAAAGACTCTGTCCTTAAGAGGTTTATGTTTCAGCCTTCAAACACCCACAGGAAAAAAAAAATCTGCCCTAACTCATTCCAATCCACTGAAACTCCTCTGGCAAAGACACCATTACCTTATTAGTAAAATACACTGGACTGTTTGGTGGTTCTCAATAAGACCTCTTTGTAGCATCTAATAATATTGAACAATTATCATCTTGATGTCTAGAATACTTCTCTCTTTCCTGATTCCCTAAAATCCTTGGATTGGAATTTCTCAGTTTCTATTGTTAGTTTTTCTTCTTCTGTTACTGGGGAGATGATGAGACTTCGGTTCTTATCTTCTTGAAGGAAAGATTTCAATCAAGAGACAAAGTGTAGAAAGCAAGCAAGAATGTACTGACCACAGTAAAAACATACTTAGGGCAGTGAAACAAGGAAGGGCATAGAAGAAGCAATAGGAGAGCCTAGGCTGGCTGCCTTGGCTCACTGGGAAGTCACAGAGCAGGAGGCCTTGGAGACAGTCCCAGGCTAACCTGGGAAGAGCTGCCGCTGCCCATTGCCCCCCTGGTTGCAAGTCTCATGGGCTCCCTTAAAGGCTGGGGGTTATGGAAGGGGGGATTAGAGGGTTGAGAGGGAGGAGGGAATGTCTTGGGCATGCTCCCAGGAGGGAGAATCCCCTGGAACCTTTGTTTTCAGGGGTTTTAAGGCTGGGCGTTTAGGGGAGGTCTTAGGGGCAGATCAATAAAGTATTCATCAGCTTTATGCTGATGTACCAAAATGAGATTTATTCTCTTAATTTGTCTAAACTTGAGTGGGATTGACAAATGACACTTAATTGGATTTCTGTTATCTACCTCACTAAGTAGGATGATTTAAACTATTTACCAGCTGTTTGGGGAAGAGAAGTGCAAACCATTTTTTCTTAAGTGTCCTTGGTTTAGGGAAGATAGGATTTAATAAGTGGCAGCAGCCTGCTGTTTAATTATCTGTCTTAGTTTCCCCATTCTGCATATCCTGGAATTTTCCTAGCTTCTTATTATTCTATAACACTTCTGTTATCCCTTTAACTCATATTCCCTAGTGTTCTGACTTTTACCCTGTTTCTTGTATACTCTACAGTAGTGTTTCTTGACTATTTTAGAGTCAAGAACTCCTTTAAGAATCTGAAGAAGCTCTGGCCAGGTGGCTCAGTTGGTTGGGACATTGCTCATGCATCAAAAGGTTATGGGAGAGATTTTCGGTCAGGGCCCATACCTAGGTTGCAGGTTCGATCCCTGGTCAGGGTGTAATCGGGAGGCAACTGATCAATCTCTCTCTCTCTCTCTCTCTCTCTCTCTCTCTGTCTCTCTCACTCTCTCTCTCTCCCTCCACCCCATTCCTCTCTCTATAAAATCAATAAAAACATATTCTTGGGTGAAGATTTTAAAAAATATGAAAATTTGCTTATATTTTAAGAAATTTCATGGGCCTTCTTCCCTTCCCACAAAGCCCATTGTTGAACTCCAGGTTAAGGTGTTCCTTGGTTTTAACTATTAGCTGTATGTCAATGACCCTCAGATATGTCTGCCACATAAAGCACTTTCCTGAGCAATAGGGCTATTTTTGAATGACTTATTGACAACTCCACATCAATGCCCCTCAGGCACCTTAAAAAACAAGATATCTGAAACCAAACTCATTATCGTTATTCTAAAACATGTTCGCCTCCTAAGAGAGAGAACCTATGGGAAAAAGAACACTGTTTTTGAAACTAATAGACCTAGATTTAAATCCATCCCTGGAAACTTCAATAATATACTTAATTTCTTATATTTAACATACATTTCACAAATATTAATATTACCGGATTCCAAATTTCAGCCAAAGCAACTCCATTCACCAATTATCTTAAGTCAAAAATTTAGTGTTATCTTTAATTTGTTCCCTTTTCCTCATCTGCAGCCAATGGATAGCTATGCTGTGTTGAATTCCTCAATGTTCTCGTGCCCTTAGTTCAGGCTCTCATGTTCTTTCTCATGGACACGGCAGTAGTTTCCTGTCCTGTTGATCTAATTCCTACCCCACACCCTCCCAACCTATCCTCTACACCAGCCATGGGCAAACTACGGCCCGC